TTTGACTCACAAAGGAGCTATTTATACTTGGAGTGATAAGCACAAAGATGCATTCGAGTTGCTAAATAAGAAACTATGTGAGGCACCGATTCTTTCTCTACCGGATGGAGTAGAAGACTTCGTTGCTAATACCAATGCGTCTGTTGTTGGGTTGGGATGTGTTTTGACCCAAATAGAAAAGGTGATAGCATATGCGTCTCGACAGCTAAAGGAGCATGAGAAGAACTACCTCACTCACGATTTGGAGCTGGTAGCGATAGTTTTCACTCTATAAATATGGAGGCATTACCTCTTTGGTACGAAGTGCAAACTTTTCACTGACTATAAGAGTCTCCAATATCTCTTTAGTCAGAAAGAATTGAATAGGAGGCAACAACGCTGGCTAGAGTTACTTAAGGAATATGAATGTGAGATGCTTTACCATCCCGGTAAAGAAAATGTTGTCGTTGATGCTCTCAGTCGGAAAGTCAATCTTGAGATAAAGAGGACAAGAGTGTTGAGAATAGAAGTTGTCTCGACCATTGTGGAAAGTATAAAGAAAGCTCACGAGGAAGCTTCTGAAAAGAATGACCGGAAGGAGGAACGTTTGGGCAAAATGTTGGTGTTTAGTACAGACGGTCATGGACTGAAGGTATTACAAGATCGTATTTGGGTACCTAAGTCAGAAGGAATAAGAGATATTCCGATGGAAGAAGCTCACAGAACCATGTACTCAATTCATCATGGCAGCACTAAAATGTATAGGGACCTGAAACCTTATTACTGGTGGCCGACAATGAAGCTTGTTATTGCAAAGTACGTGGCGGAGTGTGTGACATGTGCGCGGGTCAAGGTACAACATTAGAAACCATACGGGAGTTTAGAACCTTTACATGTGCCTATGCATCAATGGGAGGACATTCTTATGGATTTTGTCACTAAACTGCCCAAAAAAAAGAATGGTCATGACATGATTTGGTTGCTCATTGATCGCTTCACTAAGAGTGCGCACTTCATAGCAGCCAATGAGAAATGGTCTATGGATAAGCTTGTGAATTCTTACGTGAAGGAAATTGTAAGACTTCACAGTGTTTCGTTAATGATTGTGTCGGATCATGATAGTCGTTTCACCTCAAGGTTTTGGAAAAGTCTACAAGAGGGATTGGGTACCAAGTTATGTTTGAGTACAACTTACCATCTAAAGACTGATGGTCAGAGCAAATGAGCGATACAAATGCTTGAAGATATGCTGAGAGCATGTACCCTGGAATTCCAAGGTAACTGAGATGAACATTTACCTACGGTAGAATTCTCCTACGATAATAGTTTCCACTCGAGCATAAAGATGGCACCTTATCATGCTTTGTACGGACATAAGTGTCGTACGCCGTCTTGCTGGCTTGAGGCTGGGGAAAAGCAGTTTATGGGACTCGAGATAGTCCATCAAACTGCTGAAAAGTTGAAAATAGTTAGGGAGAGAATGTTAGCAATTCAGGATCGTCAAAAGAGTTATGATGACAACAAGTGAATACCGATGACTTTTGAAGTTGGAGATTCGGTTTTGCTTAAAGTCTCATCGTGGAAGGGAATTATAAGATTTGGAAAAAAGGGGAAAGTTAAGTCCAAGGTTTATTGGACCATTTAAAGTTCTTCAGAGGATTTAACGAAGCTTACAAGCTCGAGTTACCCGAAGAACTGAATGGAATTCATAACACTTTCCATGTGTGTTATCTGAGGAAGTTCATGGGGGAAGTTCCCGACATGATTCCACTATAGGAATTGAAAATTGATGAAAATAAGAAGTTAATTGAGTAACCAGAAGCAATCGTTGACTGTAAGACTAAAAACCTACAATGCAAGATGGTCGAATTAGTTCTTGTCCGTTGGAAACATACGAATGGTCCAAATCTCACCTGGGAAACGAAGAGTGACATGATGAGTTGCTATCCGCATTTGTTTGTTGATGTGTGATTACGGGGACGGAATCATCCTAAGGTGGAGATAATTGTAACGCTCGTGTTTCTAGGCTAGTCATTAATGTTGATGTAATAGTGTAGGTTAACCTTTATAACTCATTTTGAAATAATAGAAATGTATTATTTGACTATTATGTGTTTTATGCTTAATTGTGTGGCTTAATTGAATTAAGAATAAGAATAAGCGTAATAATAAAATATTAGATAAGCCTGATATCTATGAAGGAAGCTGTAGTGGTCGTGACAGGGGTTCCAGAAATATAAAGAATGCCGAAATCCTAGTTATAACGAAGAAGTTATGACCTGTCAAAGTTTCGCGACAGAACCAACACGACATTGCGCGACGTAAATAGTGAATTTACAATAGAGCGATATTTAGCCTTAGTGATTTAAACGAAAGTCGTAGAATCCGTTAAACCGAGAGCGTGCATAAGAAGAACGTCTAAATTTGACTTCGTATGAGGAAATTATGATTTTTCGAAGTTTCGACTCAACAGTATGCAACCCAAAGTTCAAATTGGAGATCAAGTGATTTCTAGCCAAAACAATCTAAACGAGAATCGAAGATCTCGTCGACAGTAGTCCAATGGTAAAAAGACAGACGAAAACGGATGTTAGCTGAAGGAGTTATGAATTTCTAAGGGAGTTTTACGTTCCCGGCCTACTAAAAATAATATAATAAAAAATAAATTCAAAATTACCCGACGGAGTCTAAACGAGAGTTGTAGAGCATAATCTCACCTACAAGTGGATATACAGAACATCGAAAACGGAACTCGTATGCGAAGTTTATGAATTTATAAAGTTCAGGGCGTGAACCCCGACACTATGTCAGAGTTCACGACATGAACACAATGTTCACGATGTGAACTCGGTATTAATTCCTTCTGGAGCCTGACAGCCACAAGTTTCCATCCTATCTCCTCTTCCTTGTCTGGTTGTGGACCTGGGGCATAGTCACCCATCCGACCGTCCTGATGGAACTAAGAATTGAGTGTAAAATGAATCAGAGTAAATGTTTATGAGTCAGTTAGTAATTGAACACATGATGTAAATAAGATCTTCACTTCAGCTCAATTACGCTTTAAGAGGTTTTACAAAGAGAACAGACAATGTTGTTCAAGTTATCTAACTCTAGTAAATGATCCTATTTATAGGATACATAAAGCGTAAAAAATATATACTAAGGCTAAAACACTTAAGCTTCGAATTAAATGAGCCCTAGTAAAATATAATACAGACCATACGAAGATTTCACAAAAGGGTTCGACTCATTACAACCAAACTACCCTTTCATTCTCCCTCTTTGAAAACATAGTTGAAGACTTCAGTTTGTAAACAGTTGAATGGAGTACAACACTACTCTTCGTATCTCAGTGTACCATGAGATAATCTTCTTCAGTTCCTTCTTATCTCCTTTGTTATTCTTTTTGAAATGATTCATACTAACAATCAAGTCCGTATATTGCAAAGCTGAATATATTTCGACCTCACTTGACTGGAATAAAAACCATTTTGATTTACCTGACTTGTCATTCCCAGAGAAGACTAAACCAAAAGGTTTCAAGCAGATTTCACCGTCAACATATTTCTTTAGATCTGCTTGTGTCTTCGAAGGAGCCATGGGTGCTATAATTTCCAGTCCTTTAGCTGTAGCTAACTCCACATTCGTTAATGCTAAGCATTCATAATAATTTTCAATAAAAATCTTGATGTGAGTAATTCCCAGCTTGTACTCATCAGGATCCGATTTCTGAAGATATGAAAAACACCTTTCCTTCAGTAGTAATGCACCTTGTATAAGATCATACAAGTTCATTAAAGGAAAGTCAGCAATTGTAAACTCGCACACATTCCCATTTTCCCTGGTCACCACATAATTCATGTTTTGGATTGTGTTTTTGAAAACCACATCCTTCTTTATGCTTATGACCTTCTTTATCTTTATCAATGACCATACTTCTTCAGTAGGCTTCGCAAGAACCACATGAAACCTGATTTTCATTTGTGTTCCTTCATCCTTCTCCTTGAACTTGCTTTCTGCTTTAAACCGAGGCATGATGAACATCATTTCATTAATTGGAAAGTCCAACTGGCTTGCATCCATATTCGAGACAATATAACTCAGTTTTGGCTTCTTTTCAAACGAATACATGTGATTAAATGCAACATTGGCTTCAATTGTTTCATAATTGTAGTGCTTTGATGGATCACCCTTGTTCATATCAGGAGGATCACTAGCCCTTTGAGTCAATATGCTTTGAACCAATCTCATCTTTTCTAGTTCCGCCTCAGCCTCAGCCTTCTTTTCTTCTTTAGATTTTTCTATAAGAATTAACTTTCCCCTTGCCTTCGAAGATGATTCTTCAACCACTTCTTTTGTCTTCGAATCACTTCCAACAGTGTTAGTAGATTTACCAATCACAATTCCTTTTGAAATTGGTCTTGTGATTGGCATAGTTGTTACTACTATTGAAGAGATAGGACCAGTAATTGCTATCACTGGCATTGTTGTTGGGAAATTTGAAGGAAACACCTTTCCCACCACTTTCGCATCTTCACCTCCAGCCTTCGAACCTTCGTTTTTCCTTTCTCCCCCTTGCACCCCTGTACTAGCAGGTGGGGCATTCGTTGTGGGAAGAAGGTTGGATATATGTGAAAGAGGAGCCAATTGTTGAAGAAGTAAGACTTCAAATTTAGAAAATTTATAGATAAGATCTTTGGAAGATAGCAAAGAAGACGAAGTTATTGTTGAAGATAGTGCTTTAATCTCCTTTAACAGTGTAAAAACTTCAATTAAATTCTTGTTTTCTGTTGCATAAAGTTGAGCAATTTGAGAACTCAAAATTTCATACAACTTGGTAAATTTGGTAACTACATCACATATTATATCCACCTTCTAATTGAGAGATGCAAATTCGGTGCGAACAACTGCAATCTATTTCCCCATGTCTTGTCGAAGCTCTTGGAGTTTAAAATTCAAATCTTCTCGCACTTTCTTCACATCTTGAACAAATAAGACATGACGTTCCATTGCCACCAATTTTAATTCTTTGAAGTCACCTTCAAAAGTAGATTTCTGAGAATTTACCCTCATCTCATTGCTATGACCACAAAGATCAATTTTCTCCAGGAGACGAGAATCAGAATCTTTTATCATTCCTGAAACCTTTGAAGTAATCCTCCCTTCAAGCAACTTCAACAGACCATCCACTTCTAGACTGGTCACTGAATTTCCTCCCCCAAGATCAGCATGAGATTGAAGAATTGAATTGAGCTTTGTATTCAATATCTTGAACTGCTTCATGGTCATTATCATGTGATCTGGGCAGTCTGTTTCTTCTTCATCAAACTCCAAATTTTCAAATGTTCCTCCAAAACCTCCGGACTCATGCTCAGTTTCCATAAAAGAATCTTGAATTGGTGAAATTTTTGTAGGTGGATCAGTGGATTATGAAGAAAAAAGAGATGTAATTGGTTGTTTGATAATGTTTTCAAAGGTAGGTCAATCAGTGGTGGAAGTAGTAGGAATGATAGGTGTGAGTTATGGAGGTAAAGAAATAATAATGTCTAAGATAACATCTGAAGTTTTACCTTGGTCTCCAGTATGCGAAGCATCCTCACCCATTGTGACATTTGCATCCATATGAGATATGTTTACAAAAATGTCAAAAGTTCGTGCCTCCTCAGAAACTGACTTGGCAACCGAATCTTTGGGTGGTATAACATCAGTTGGTGTAGGATGAGAAGATTCTTTCTGATGATCGGCTTCTAGAGTTTCTGGAATTATTTCATTTTCATCAGCAATAGACTCGGAGGAGATGAACACCTTACTTTTCTTCTTCTTCTTTGAGATGTGTTTGGCCATATCAGTTTCCCTTAGTTTCTTAGAAGATGGTGACGCAGGTGCATGAATCTCATGAAAGAGAAGTCCTTGATGCGAAACTTGTGGTTTTCGGATGACATTTGTTAGTGGAGATCGACTCTTATGTTTGGATTTCATTTTGATCCTGCGAAAGACACCAGTCTTTGAAGGAATGATTTCCTTTTGAGTTGATGGTGTATCAGCAACAGAAACTTTGGGTTTGATTGGCTCAGCTTCTGTAATCGGTAACTTCTTCGGACTCTTTGTAAATTTAGATTCTTTTACTTGATTCTAAGAAGATCCAGCAGTAGTCTTCTTCGAACGCTTGGACTTTGTCTCTTCTTCTCTTGCCAAAAGAACTCCAATTTCAACAGAGGTATCAATGGTTTGCAAGTAAGTGACTAGAACTATGTTAGTAGGATCAACTCGTTTAAGCATGGCATGAGGAATACGAGCAACAATTGGAAACTTTTCAGTATCATAAGTTGCATCCTTCGGACAGCTATACACATGGAACACAACTTTTTCTACATCTGCAGGATCCAAAATCACCTCCTTCTCTTAGAAATATTGTAGAATCAAGCTCCAGTATCGGGGACACAAAATGCCATGAAGAGCATTTGTGTTCTGAATACTCTTCAAGAACTCTTTCCATAACTGAGTAGAGTAATCAACTTGAAGATCATAATATAAGCCTGCGACCATAGCATAAACCTCCATTCTTCCCTTGTCTAACCCAACGGTTCTTCCAGTTAAACATCTTAGGAAAATACCAAACAAAAAATTCCATACACTTGGAAGACCTGACTTCTTGAAATCACTTATCTTGGACAATTGGGTTTGATGACCCATTTCATTGAACATATGAACAATTTGTGGGAAGGTAAAAGTGACATATGGTGAAGAATTAGGGATATCGAGAATCTGACAGAAAAGCTTCTTTGAGAGTCTAACCTTTTTATCAGTCACTAGATTAAACAGAACTGCATCCAAAGCTTTCGAATACCTAGCTGTTGATCCAACTTGAGACAACCACGAAAGAGGAACAGAGAATGAGTTGAACATGGATTTGGATAATACAGAGCTTTTCAGAGCAACAATGAGCATCTTAAGTTCATCATGATATAGAGAAACATTTGATTCAACTTGGTAATTTGTACCCTGAAACTTCATTATTGGCAACAAGGTAACATCATCTGTGGTTTGAGACAGAGTTGCATCAGGATTAGTAGTCGCCATTGTTAGGGTTTGAGATCTGCATTTTTACCAGAGAATATTGGGGAATATGAAAGCGTAAACTGATAATGAACCATTGAATACCCTTTTAGATGTAACTCTTGATTTTGAAATCGAAACGGGATAAGCATTTAATGATCTGTGACGTGTCACCGAGAAAACCACATCATGATGATGAAAAAGTAACCATGTGTGATAAAGTGACTGTCACGTCTCCTCAAAACCCGCTCAGAATTCAAACAGTCCCCTCAAATAGGCTGGATTGTTTGCCCCAATGGAATAGTAACCGTCAGAACCCTTCTGATCGAGGTAAGACTCTTTTACTTTAGGGTTTCAAAGTAAAGTCATTTTCTAGATTCTTGAAATCATCAACCTGAGTTGGTGTTACTCAGAACCTCAAGGATTTAGTATGTGTCGTGTTTCAAAGAATATAGATGAGAAGCAATTTAAAAAAATTTGGATATTCAGTGATGTGAAAAATGCAATTTGACACGAAGGCAGTTAAAACCCCGGGCAAAGATTGTTTTGTTAATTATCAAGAGAGATAATCAACAGTTTGTGCATGTTCTCGTGAATTACAATTGAATAGTTGTAAAGAAGTATCGAAGGGCTTCTTTTAAAAGGCTTTTGAAGTGGTTTAATGAATATCATTACATATCAACCTAAACATAAGGTGAGTAATTGTAACAGAAATTACTTGTTTGACCAGTGTAGTCAGTGACAAGTTTGCTTTGAAAAACTTTTAAGTAACATGAAATTTCTGATAAACCTCACACTGAAATCATATTCAAGAAAAAAAATGTATTCTGGATCCTGTTGGGTAACAAACATCATGGGTTTCGAATGTTTGATCAAGACCACTCATAAGAAATGAATATGATTTGGAGTTTAGAATAAAGGTACAGAAACAAATGTTTCGTTAATATCTGGAACAAAGTTCCCCGTCAATTCCTTAAAGGCTAATTGATTTGGGTTTCACTTCCATCACGGTCTCAGGATTTCTGATCATAAACATAGATTTGTGATATATCTAGGTTTCAATTGGTTTGATCAGAAACCTCTTGAACATATGTCTTCGTGTGTGATAGTGTAAGAATTTTGAGATGAAAAAGATTGGTATAAGAAAGAACATGTACCTCTGTTAGTTTGGACCAAATAGTAAACTCTTAACTCATGTGAGAAGAGTCATGTAGCTCAGAAGACTAATTTGAATGCAAGCTTGATTGGGAAGAAATCTTTGTATGAAAATTTCATTAAGTCTTTCGAACATTGAGTCATTTAGAGGCTTTAGTCAACATGCTGCAGCACGCTTCTAGGGACATCTTAACTAGTTCAATATGTGTGAAAAATACCTCACCCTAGAACTGCAAGCACTACTCTAAGAAATTGAGTATGGAATTCTACAACAAACAATTAAAAAGAAAGAAGAATAAAAATATTTTTGTTGTTTTTGAATTTTTTAAAACAAAAAAAAAATCTTTTTGGTATTTTTGATTTTTCGAAGAAAAAAAATTGTATTTGTTGCAAACATGCGAAATTTAAAACACTCAAGAAAATGATAATTATACGAATACGAAGGATTCGAAGAGTTGACTGTGAACAATAACCTTTTTCTTTGATGACATGTCTCTGAACCAATTCCTTTTGACCATCAGTCTCCTTTTTCGCATGGAACAAAATTTCCATCGATCATTCCAAGTCCTTTCAAAATTCTCACGAATGATTTTTCATCCAAAGGTTTTGTGAAAATATCAACTAACTGATGTATTGTTTTCACAAAATGCACTTCAATATTTCCATCTTCCACAAGATCCTTGATGAAATGATAACGAAGAGCAATATGTTTAGTCTTTGAATGCTGCACATAATTATGACAAATTCCTATAGCACTTTGAGAATCACAATATAATGGAATCTTTTTCATATTAATTGTATAATCCCGTAATTGGCTTTGAATCCAAATGATTTGTGAAGTACAAGCAGTAGCAGCTACATATTCTGCTTCAGTAATTGAAATTGAGACACATGTTTGCTTCTCGACTGCCAGCTCACCAATTTGCCATCCAACAATTGAAAACCACCACTTGTGCTTTTCGTATCCAGACTACAACCTCCAAAGTTAGCATCCGAATATGCTTCAACAAAGAACCCAATTTTCGAAGGATACCACAATCCTAACAAAATTGTTCCTTTAAGATAACGAAATATATTATTTACACCAGTGAGATGTGGTTCTCTTGGATTTGACTGGTACCTAGCACAATTACATACAGAAAACATGATATCATGTCTACTAGCAGTTCGATAAAGTAACGAACCTATCATGCTTCTGTAAAGAGTTAGATCAACTATAGGTTTTTCTAACGAATGTGTCAGCTTTATGCTAGTTGCCATCGGAACTCGTAACTTTGTGCTATTCGTCAATCCAAACTTCTCTAGCAAATTCCTCGTATATTTTTCTTGATTGATAAAATTACCTTCTCTGTTTTGACGAATATTCAATCCAAGAAAATTGTTGATTTTTCCCATCATGCTCATTTCAAACTTGTTTTTCATCAAATTTTCGAATTCACTAGACAAGGCAGGGTTAGTTGAGCCAAAAATAATATCATCAACATAAATTTGAACAATCATTAGATGATTCCCAACATTCTTTCAAAATAATGTGGGATCCACTGATCCTTGTTTAAATTTAGATTGTTTCAAAAATGAAGTTAATGTTGCATACCATGCTTGTGGTGCTTGTTTCAAACCATAAATTGCTTTATCTAAGATATAAACATGATCAAGATGTTCTTCATTAATAAAACCTGGGGGTTGTTCAACATAAACAGTCTCTTCAAGCTCTCCGTGTAAAAATGCACACTTCACATCCATTTGATAAACATCAATGTCCTTATGAGCTGCATAAGCCAAAAATATATGAACAGCCTCGTGTCTTGAGACAGGGGCAAAAGTTTCTTCGTAATCTATTCCTTCTTGTTGAGAATATCCCTTAACAACAAGCTTGGCTTTGTTTCTAACAATGTTTCCATCTTTGTCGGTTTTATTTTTGAAAATCCATTTTAACCCGACAATTGAAACATCATTTGGCTTAGGAATTAATCTCTAAACCTTATTTTTTTCAAATTCAGACAATTCAGATTGCGTTGCAACAACCCAACCTGAATGTTCCATTGCAATCTTAACTGTTTTTGGTTCAATTTTAGAGATAAAGACATTGAACCTGCAAAATTCTTGATGAGTATTTAATACCTCATTCTTCGCACAAATTTGAGCTCTTGTTAAGACTCCCTCTTGTGGATTACCAATAATTTGCTCCTTCAAATGATCTTTTGTCCAGTTCTCCATTGGTGGATAAGCTGAATCAAATTCCAAAAGTGCATCTTCGTACAAACCATCATGTTCTGAACCAGCAATTGAACATGCATCATTAAGATTGCTAAGTTTAAAATCAACTTGAAGATCGATTAGATCTATGAAACAGGTAGAGAAATAATCAGATAAACAATAAGAACAAGCAAATGGATCAAAAGGTGTCGAATGATTAATAAACAATCCTCAGAAGAGCTCGATAAAGAACATCAACTGTAGAGGATTTTAGGGTTTACAGTAATCAATGAGAATGACGACAACTTCTTCATACGCATACATGCATGCATATATTTATATTAAAACCCTAACAGTTTATCTAAGAAAAAGGAGGCTAATCTAGATAAACATGGATTGACAAGCCCAATCCGGTTGTAAAACAAAAGGGCCCAAGACGCAACACATTAATCTTCAACAATCTCCCCCTTTGCGTCTTTGGCACAGAGGCTTCATTCCCTTTTAACAGCAGAAGGTTTCTTCACCGTCTCAAAAATCCTCGGTATAATGGCCAGAATGTGATGCCTGAAAGT